AGAATCTCTCCGACCCGGCAGGACAGACGGCTCCTGATGGTGACGTAGGAATGATCCGGAGTGTACACCCTGCAGAAGACTGAACACACACACACACACACACACCATGGTGTCAGTGAGTCCTCTGAGAGCGCAGCATCAAAGATGGCTGCAGTCACGTGACATCATGGCTTGTTGTTACTGTGGTAACTGCCACTCAGAATTTGGTTACTCATACATGTAACCATTCACGTGTGTGACGCTGTGAACACAGTCAGAACCATAAGAACAAAATGAGCAGAGAAACCTAACAGATGTCTGACTCTGGTGTCCGTTCTCACAATGTTGGAGAAAAGTCCGACCACATGCAGGAGCTCCGTCGCTGCATCCAGCAGCTTTCTCTCTCAGTCCTGATCAGCTGATCAGCATAGTCTGTTCTCCATGACAGGTCTAACACGAAAACTGGTGTGAAGTAAAAAGTAAACACGTTACGGGACCAAAGCCAATGCAGCACGTGGTCGAGGCATTTCTTTACACGTCTTAAATAAGATGTAATAGAGAGATGAAACACGTCTTCCTCTATTCTAATAAACTGAGATTAGGAAACTTACAGAAAAGCAAAAACAGCCATTTTGGCCTCTTAGTCCAGTGAGGCAACACAAGATAGTTTATAGTCTGAGAAATCCACGAAGCTTTCCACAGACAGTGCGAGCTATCCGTCTTCTCCCAGTGTTGACGTCCCCGCAGCGCGGCATCTCCACCGCGTAACCACGCTTCTTCATGTCCTCCGCCGCTGCTGATGCACTCTTGTACAGGCGTGGACCTCAGTTTAGCTGGGCATTTGTTCTTTGTTCTTCTTAATGTCCTTGTTTTCTTTGAGCTTGTTGTTAATCTCAGTCGGTAAGTTGTGTGTAAATGTGATCGTTTTGCCCTCGTAAGAAATGTTCTCAGCCCGAGCTGCTCTCAGGATTTTGTCTTTTCGGTCAGACCTCTGAAGATTAACCAGAGTCGACCTGCTAATGTCTTTGGTCCCAGTGATCGGTGAGCGCGCTCAATCTGCAAATCCTCATCTTCAGGAAGGGCAAGTTCTTTCTTCATGAAGTTCCTAATGAACGCCATCATATCGTTCCCCTCAGCACCTTCTTCATCTCCATACATACGGAGATTGTTCCTCTTCCTTCAGGTCCGTGACTTCGGTCTGGAGAGTTTTCTGCTGTTAGCACATCTCTCAGCTTCACCGTCTCAAGTTTCACACGTTGTTCTGCTTCAGTTAACCTTGTGGCGTGATGACACATATCCACACCAGTGGACACTTCAGCACAACAATGACCCGAAACAAACGCGAGTAAACGTGTTGCAGACAACACTAACGTGCTGCAGCGGCTCAGAGTCCTGACTCGAGTCCAGCTGAGAGTCTGTGGAGGATCAGGGTGATGCAGGAACCTCCAAACTGAAGGATTTGGAGCTCATTGCAGAAGACGAGTGGACAAAAACACCTGTGGAGCAGAAAGCTGCTCTGCAACAACAGGA